TTTCATAAAGCAGAAATCCAAAGCATAGAAGAGTTAACAGTAAAAGCTGGTTAAGTGGCAGGAATAGAGCTAGGGTAGTCTGACTTCAAGTCTGGTCCTTTCTTCTTATTTTTTTATGTCTCCCTTGTGGACTAATACGGTGTTTGATATGGTGAAGTATTTTATAAACATTTGTTGAGCAAATAGAAAGAATAATCATTCTTATTCCTCCTTAATTTTTATAATCTTAATTTTAAAAATAAATTTTGTCTTAAGTTGAGTTCACACTCCCCCTTGACTGAGTTCATTTGTCCAGAAAAAATATTCAAACCATACTGAAGAAGAGAGAATCAATGGGAGTCAAAGGCCTGGGGTTTTGCTAAGTAAGAATCAAGGATCTCTGTAGTTCTAGAGGATAAGGAATCATGCTGCTAAACCAAAGGCAGTGGTTCAAATCCACCAGCTACTTTTCTAAAGAAATATGAACTATCTCCATCCATGTGATTTACAGCCTCTGAAAATATGCTGGAGGGTCAGCTATGAGTTGGTTTCAACATGACAGCAGTGAGTGAGTGAACCAAGTCAAAGTCATAACCATTCAGTGTCTCATTCAGGTTCTGTATTTGTAGTTATGAGATACCTACAAGGACCTCTCCTCACAGCTGTACTACACTGTGCATGTAATGTGATGTGGAAACATTTTACAACAGAAGTATTATTAGGAAAAAAAGAAGAAGAAGAGGCTTGCTATTCTTTGCAAGCAGATGTGACTCAGGGAAATAGTTTCATTTGCAGAATGTTTATAATAAAGTGCTAGGGTTTTGTTTGCTTGTTTTTTTGGGTTTTGTGATTGTACTTGTAGATTTGGGAGTGGTGGCTGAGGCATCTAGTTTGGTTAAGAACTAAATACATTCAGAGGAGTGAGGAGGGTGGGGGTGAGGGTATAACGAGAGGGTTGCACAATTTGATGAATGAAGGGTAAAAGAAATGGGAAATATCTGGTGTGGAAGATAATGTATATGAACTTCATAAGTAAACCAGTATAAAATAAACATTTTATTTAAAGAAAAACCCCTAGATGAGTTTGTTTTTCCTGAGATATTTAAATCCATACCTCAAGTCCCCTTAGTCCTCGGATTAAAAAAAACCCCTCTTTTATCTGTTAAATAACCTTTTAATCCTTATACTTTGCATATATTCTTTATTTTTATCATTATAATAATTCTAGCCCACTGTAGGAATTTGGTAAATGCAAAGGTTTCTAAATGTATAAATTGTAAATATTAGGATCTCTTCAATATTTAAAAAATAATCCTGAAAAATATGTTTTAATGACTGTATAACCTTCAATTAGGATAAAATATAGCATAATTTAAACAGATAGGTTTGGGAGCAAGAGTGGCATCCACTTCCTAAATAATATGCTTCCAGAAACTCTATGAACTTTGATAAATGTTGATAGTTGTAGAGGGGCTACAGGCCTTTTGTTAATAGAGTCGCTATGAGTTGTGCTCAACTCAAAGGCAATTAACAACAACTGTATACATTTTAGTGGACACCCAATTTTTGTTATCATAAATAACAATATGGCAACATTCTCTCACTGACACTGTGTGAAGACCAGATAGGGCTGTAGGAAAAGTGCTTCCTTAGTTCCTAGAACAGTAGTTCTCTGAGAGCTTGCTGAAATGCAGATTCTGGGGCCCCAAGGACTGGTGAGAATTATATTAAGTGAATTAACTCAATCTCATAAAGACCATAGACATACATGAACGGTATTAGACTATTACTGTAGAATGAGTATGAGGATCCAAGGAGGTGAGAGCAGAGCAGAGGAGTAAAGATGGGTGGGGTGGGAGGAGGTGTGGGTAAAGAAAAGAAGAAAGATCTGGTGTGAAAAAGAATGCATACAGACTTTGTTAAGTAAACCAGTAAGAAATAATAATAATAATAAATTTTAAAAGTTCTCATCTGATCTTTCAAGGGTGGCCTGGTTAGATGGTCTGACTTAGAGGAATACTGGCATTTGATAATGTTTTCCTCTATATACCTTCATTTTTCTTCTAGCCACTGAGTTTGTTTATCTTCATTTTTCTCCCAATAAAAAAATGAGTTGTGTTTTCAAGTATCAGGTTCAATTTGTTGTTGTTGTTAAGTGCCATCAAATCGTAGACAAATCATAGTGACCCTATGAATGTAAGACGTGAACACTTGTATAACTTTCATCGTTTCACCAAGCTCATAGGGTTTCCAGAAGCAATCTATTTTGGAAGTGGATGCCACTCCTGCTTCCAAGCTTGTTTTAATCGGGAAGCTCCACTAAACACTGTCCACCATGGGTAACCATTATCGCATCTGACACATCAGTGTCATAGTGTTCAGTATCACAGCAACCACGAGTGGCCTCTGTACAGCAAGTGGACAGACCAGTGCTATACCACTTAGAAGAATGTTTGACCCACAACAATTAAAACCAGGCTTAAGGGCCACAGATTAAAATCACCCACCTTTGGCTTGGTAGCATCATTTTCTGTCCACTAGGCCAGCTGAGCTTTATGCTGTTGTTAAGTGCCATTGAGTTGTAGACGACTCATAGTGACCCTATGAATGAAAGACCTGAACAGTTGTATAACTTTCATCATTTTTCCATGTTCATAGAGTTTCTGAAGGTAAGCTATTTCAGAAGAGGATGCCACTCCTGCTTCCAAGCTTCTTTTAATTGCGGAGCTCCACCAAACACTGTACATCATGGGTAACCATTATGCAGTAGGTTCACTATAGCCTTTTAAAAAGAGTTGCTCACATTTTACATAACTCTTTAATTAATCACATACCTATACAATCTCTACAGCTCCATTTGGTGCACACCCCACCTTCACTCCACACCACCTATTCATGCTCTATACTTAACTCTGCTTCATCCCAGAGCCTCTCCTTTGCTCATCAGGCATGCTTGCAAATCTAGTTTGCTTGTGCCTGCTCTTCTTTCCTCTTTAATTATATAAGCATCACATAGAATGTCACTTCCTCAAAGAAGCTTCCCTTGATGCCTTGATCTAAACACCCTTCCAGGCAAAAATTTATGGTTGTTCCTTATTCTTGTCTTCACAGCACATCATAATTCATGAGTGTGTGGTATCGGAGAACTGTCATCAGCACAAGCCCCATGAAACAGGTACAAAGCTAGTCCTTCTCTCCTAGGTCTGGTGCAATTCCAGGGGAGCACCAGTGGGAGTGCTTCAGATGGTGAACAGCATGGGCTCTAGGGCCCAATTCTACTATGTAGTCACTGTGTGACCTTAGGCAAGTTTCTTAAGCTTTCTGTGTCTGTGTTCTTCATTAGGGCTTATACTTAAGTCCTATACAGGCTTATTATGACAATTACATGATCAACTGTAGTTTGATAAATCTGGATGATACAATGCATCCAATTTAAACAACATTGGAAAAGTAAGCATTAAACACACTTTTATGAAATATATAGAAGTCTGGGCTTTTAAATTATGTTCTTTCTCATCATTCCCACAGCCAAAACATTAGCCTAATCATCTTTTCCCTGCAGCCTCTTCCTTAAAAAATAGTTCCACTTTTGTCTTGAATGACTGCCCAACATACTCTCCACTTCATGTTATTATTTGCAGCTCTGATCCTTCCATCATGTCGCTCAGGTGCCAAGCCATCTCCCTTCTTTCTTTCAAATATTTCCTGAAATGTGACCTCCTCCGTGGAAACTTCTTCAAGTGGAAATGAGCTCATCATTCCATTCTGTTTCCAACACATAAGTTTGAGGTTGATGTTTGAGGCCCCAGAGCCATAAATTCTACGAGCTTTCCAGCGGCTGCATGAGTCTCACCTTCCGGTGTCAGTTGGATTCCTCATTTGCCTGCACTTAAGAATGTGAGTCTCAGAGGCCACGGTGGTGTTTAACATCTCTGTGGACACTCAGCATAATGCCAACACATACAGACGACAAAGAAATGTTGACTCAGTGATGATTTAATTACTTTGTTCATGCCAGGAACAAAAACTGTATACTTTCAAATTTGTTTCTCCCCATTACAGTATGTTTCTATGCTAACTTTATTCTGAGACTGACTTTCCTCACTTACTTTCACAAAAAATAAACCTCACACTGCTACACACACACACACACACACACACACACACACACACACACACACACACACCACCCCTACATGAAATTGTAATGCTACATTACATGAAAATATAAAACTAATAATAGTTACTATGTTGTGAGTCAAAATAGATCTTTAGAATCACGGTGTTTTATGTAAAAGGCTCCTCGTTTAAAACTTCACTGCATATGCCTTATTGGTTGTTTTGTAAATCTAACTTGGATAACCAAAACATGTCAATACTCATTTTTAAGCGACTTGTTGTATTCGGTGCATGTACCATTATGGAGAACTTACACTCAGAGCAAAAAGATTTGTAGCAAAGCATATGACCTTCTTCCCACTACAATGACCATCCCCTAATTAGGCAATGCATCTGATAGTCATTAACAGGAATGAGATAATGAATCACTTTCTCTCTTCTTTGTTAATTTGCTGTAACCAAGCGGCTAATGGATGTCAGAGCTGAGTGATTGCACTGATTATAGTGATTTATAGTTGCAACAAAACAATTTAAAACCATTCTGATTATTCATGTTAAAGATGCTTTATGTTTTGTTTACTAAATGTTTTATGCCCCCCCCTTCTCCCACTCCTAAAATACTGTCCCTCTCCTAGCCTGCCACCTTTCATGAAAAGACATCTTCCTAGAAAACTTGGAAGTTTTAAGGGTTGATATTTTTTTCTGTTTTTATGGATTTAAACTAAGCCATTTCAGTGTGTGTGTGTGTATGTGTGTGTGTCTATACACACACACACATATTTATATTTAAAGTTTACCCAGTAGAAACGAAAAGCCTTAGGGGTAGAAAGAAAACTTCAGTGGTGCCTAGTTCAAAAGAAGACAGAAATAAGAGGAAATAAGGAAAACTTCAAGCCACTTACCTTGGGGCTTCCAGTCCCTTCCTCATCCTCCACAGACACATCAGTAGCCAGTATCTCGGCTTTGATGGCATCCAGGGCCCTGAGAATCCAGCTGTGTTGCCGTTTGATTTGCCTCTGCAGCTCCTTCCATTGACTTGCAATCATCCGCAGCATGTCCTTCAGTCCTTCTCCAAGAGGAGGGGGAAAACACAAGTTGTGGACCTGACTGTCTTTACACATTAGTATTTTGTATTTAGCAAGTTAGGTGGACATTTCAAACAATATGCTTATTTTAAGCTACGTACCATATGAACTATTATTTGTCACTCAGAACAGAGCAAGGTAATTCTTGGCTTCACACAATACGTAAAGTCCCAAAATAATGAGATTATTAGATTAATGTTTGGAAATCTACTTAGATCCAATGTACTGACTGAGAACATTTCAAGTAGAATAGTATTTCTATGTATAAATATGAATAATGCTATAGAGCTCACATTCCAGATAAAAGGCCTTGTTTGTTTCTGTGTGGAGACCGTAAAATGATCAGAAAGATGTATATAAATAGGTAAAGTTAATCCAAGGAGTAATATAGTAAATGGGCCACAATTAAGACAGTTGGTTCGGTATAAGCAAATCTGATTAATGCAACTCTTCTTTGTAGCCTTGGTAAGAGCCAAATTGCAATTCATCTTGTCTGAAACTCCTTTATTGCTAGGATAAGTACAATTAAATTATAAAACTATTTTTTTATTTACAATATGTTCCTCAAAAGTACAATAGTACCAGGGTGAGAAGTGGGTGAAGACCAAAATCTCTGTTAAAGCAATGGCCAGCAAAGAGCCTGTGAACTGTTCATGTGTGTCAATGGACAGTGCAACAATCAGCTATCTGAGATTGTCTAGGTCCATAATGCTATCTATAAGCTCCCTAATGCATATGCATGTGTAACTATATGCACAATTCTCTCATTATCTTAATGTTATTTCCAGAGCACCTACATCTAAAAGCATGTCAATGTGAAGTTTTTAGAAATGTAATTTCAATTGAAACTCAGGTGAACAGCAAGCCCAAAATAAAATGAACAGACCATTTGGAGGCAGTATTTCATCTTATAAGTATCACAGCACTGTATGTAGTATTATGAAACATTTATAAATCTTGAAGGTCAATCTGATAATGTAAATATTAATAATACATAAGGAAGTGAATATATGCAGTAATTTACAGCAATGCTTCTTCATTCTTAATAGTCTGGAGACATAAAGACTTGCAATATTTCAGGAGGATTTACCTGCTTTGTGAGATGCAATAAGCTCGAGAAGTTGCTGTCCTTCCTCCTCCACAGCTTCCTTGAGAGCACAATGACTGTCGACATTCAACTTAAAACTCTGCAAGGAAAGAGGTGACTATCAAATCCTGGCAAGGCAGTGAAGCCTAATACACACACACACACACACACATACACACAGAGACTGCTACATTTTACTAAGAATCACACAGCCCAATTTACTCACTAGACGAAACTTATTTACAAAACTAAAAGCTATTGATATTAAGGATCTAAATGGTATGAAATGTTTCTGTTAGATTAGCAGAATGCAATCTGTTTGGAAACAGCTGACAAATCTAGAAATTCATTAGGTTTTTATGAAAAGTCACATCCCGTAGGCTATGTCAAGAATAGCAGTGTTCTATAAAACACACTGAATTTCTACCAGCACATGTGAGCTCTTTCTTTCCTTCAGCTTTTTAAAAAATGGTAGTGATAGCACTATTTATGAAACCATAAAAATTTGGCAGCATAAAATATATTAGCCTTATGTGCACACACATAAATCCATTAATATGGTAGTGTTTGATTCAGCTCTGGTTTTCAGACACCACACAAATCATAGGCTATTGATGTGAAGTTAGGTGCATACTGAAGAATCAGATGCTTCTCAAACCTTTGATTTTATTTTAAAGTTTATGTCTTACACTGTAACCTTATTTTAGAAATGAACACATCAAGAATATCAGAGCATATTTTTGTTTATGACAGTCATCCAGAAGACAAAGCCTGGCGTCATATTAAAATCAAAGGTAGAGCCTCTTCTTCCAGGAAGCCTTCCCTAATAAATGCTTATGGAGAGTTAATTACTCCCTACTCTCTATCACTCTTTTTCTTCTACTTACTTGACCATATAATGTTCTGATTTATGTTCATAATTGGCCACTAGCTTATAAGCCAGTTGAAAGAATTGCTATTTTTACATTCCTCACCAATTCTTGTCTCATAGAAAGTGTTCGATAAATGTTTGCTGGAATGGCAGGAGATATCTGCTGAACTGGATCGATAGCACTCTCGGAAGAGTAAGGTTTCCATTTAAATATTTCAACAACAAGATGTTTTCTGAAGATTTTTTTTTTTCATCCCTGGAACGTTATAAGGCATTCCAACCACAGGAGGTCCAAGGGGGATTAATCATAGTAAACAATCTGTTGAATCAATTGTTAATCTTCAAAGTGAAAATTTATTTCTTGACTTGACAGTTAGAGCAAGCATGGTTTTGAAATGTTATATGCCAAAATTTGGTTTCTTCATGATAAGTCAAAATCAAATCCATTACCATCAAGTCAATTCCAATCCATAAGAAGCAAATGTAGTAAGGCTACAAAATGTATTTTGCTCCTACTAAAAATTTATCAGAGGGAGCTCTGGTGATACAGTCCATCCAGAGTTGAACTGATAACATGAAAGACCCTACTTTTGTGATGATTTGAATCCACTAGCAGGTCCTCTTTGGGAGAAAAAGAAGCAATCTTCAACCAGGTGATTTACAGCCTCAGAAACCAAATGGAGAGTTAGCTGTGAGTCAGTGTCAACTCCATGGCAATGAGGTTTTTTTTTACTTTGAAAGCCTCAGAAACCCCACTGGAGGGTCAGCTGTGAGTGGACGTTGACTAGATGACAATGATTTTGATTTTGAAAGGCATAGTACATAATGTATTGTGCTAAGTGGAAGGTCAGCTGTTTGCATTTACTGACTGCTCGAGAGCAGGGTGGTCAGTCCCCACTGCAAAGATTTACGGCCTCAGAAACCAAGGCAGAGTCACAAATGACTTGATGAAAGGGAGCTTGGTTTTTAAACATTGGGTAATAACTGTATATTCTATATTGTACTTGACATTAAGAGTATTTCCTTGAATCTAGAGATGATACAGTGTTATTTTAATGAAAGAGGCTAAACAGCTCTCAACTCTGAAATCTGATGTTTAGTCTTGCACACATCCAGAAATCATATATTGGCCTCTTCTCTATGGTGAGTCAGGTAATAGCTACTTAGGGGATATAAGGCATGGCCTCTGGCATCAAAAGGAACTTGCATGTTTTACTAAAAGAGCAAAGAGAATCCTGACTCATCTTGAAGGTTCAGTTGTGAGTCTAAACTCTCCTCTCCTTAGTGGAGTAGAGAGTCTTTGTTAAAGTTCATAAAGCAGAAGAGAATGATAAAAAGAAACCAGAAATGAAGGCAATGGAGATGGGCAGATTAGGCCTTGAAGTACAAAGATAAGAATTTTGACTGGGGGGAAAAAAAGGTCTGCCACCAAAATGATGAATCATCTCATCTGACTAGAAGCATAATACCCTTACGTTTCCGCTAAATATGACAGAGACAATTTCAGGTTTTCCTACGAACTGTTCATCATTTATTTTATCCTCTTTCGGCTATAAGAGTTTTGTTGAATGAAAAGAATACAACGGATCATAAGACTGATGCTTCTGGTCAATCTGAGCAACATAGTACCTATTAAAAATTGAATGTTTATCATTTATAGTCAAACATAGCTGCATGCATATTTGTCAGTTTCCTGGAATTCATTTACCCTAATGAACAGTGCAGAAAAGGAGATATGTCTGTATTTCTGGGGGGAAAGGACAAGGAAAGAGAAATACCCACGATCAGTCTGAGAGGACCGAAACATGGGAAGAAATCTAGTCTAGAAATTTTTCCATAACTGTAAATGTCACCTAATGCTCTTTGATTTACTGTTTACTTAAAACAGACTTGTGTGAATAGCTGGCAATCGTGGGTTTCCAAAGAGGTGCATGAGGCCCATCAGGCCTGGGTCTCAGAGCAGAGGGGAACCTAAGGACCTGTGAGGAGGCCGAGTAATTTGGCATAATTGAAGCCAAGAGGATAGAATAGATGCAGCTGGATCAGGCATCAAGACGATGTGGAAGCATTTGATTAGGAAATTGGAAAAGATGAGGGATTCATTATTAGGCAAAGGATAGGCTGATAAGCTTGATGCTATATAAAAAAGCCATTTAACATAACCATTACCCAAATAGCACAATATTGCTTGATTTTCAGGTGCACCCATTAACCATTAATAATACCAACTAAGGAGCTCACAACAGGCCTCTGAGGAGGCAGCAGCCGAGCTGGCAAAGTAACAAAATTGTCAATGAACTGTCTGACTGCTAAAGGAGTCTATAATAAGCTCTCCCATTGTGCGCCCACTTCTTCCCTAAGGAAGGAAGCTTAAACTAGAAGTTTTTCTTTCTCTTGATTTCTTCTCATTTTTTTTAACTTGATACTCAGACACTTTTTTCATCCTTGCCCCACTAACACATTTCCTCAGCAATCCCTTATGGTACAATATTCTCTCTCTGCAACATGCATATGTCAGAAAGTGCAGGACAACTCTCTGGAGATTGAATTTATGGAAAGAGCATTGCCACAGGCAGGTGCCACAGTCCTGTGTCCCTGATTATGTGAAATTCCATAAATAAGAGTGATCTGAATGCTGTAGGACACCAGATCTTTTAGTGTCTTTAAAACAGCATGAAACTGAATGAATGAAGAGAATAATTAAGGAAATGGAAAATATGGGGACTGAAACAAAGGAATAAGGTTATGAAAAAGATGATACATCAGAGATTGACCAAAAGGTATTCCCACAATGGCAACCTACAACATTATTTATTTGAATAGAATTGCTTTTATTATTTCTTGGCAGGATGAAATTCAGGTAAGTCCCCTAAACTGTTTGTCAACCATGATCAAATCTTACAAAGATGGTAAAATCAAATATTTTATTTCGCTAATGCAGATGACACAACTTTGCTCGTTGAAACTGAGGAGGACCTCATGCACTTACTGCAGAGGGTCAAGGACTGCAGCCTTCAGTATGGACTGAGGCTCAATGTCAAGAAGTCAAAAATTCTCACCACCGGACCAATCGGTATCATCAGGATGGATGGTGAAGAGATTGAGAGTGTTCACAGCTTCAGTTTGCTCGGCTCCACGGTCAACACTCTTGGCACCAGTATCCAGGAAATAAAAAAACATATTGCAATGGGAAAGTCTGCGGTTAGGGACCTCTCTAAAGTACTCAAGAGCAACGGTGTCTCTCTGGAGACTAAGGTGCGCCTGATACAGGCCATTGTTGCAATCATTTGTTATGCATCAGAGAGTTGGACAATGACTAGGGAGGATAGAAGAAGAATTGATGCCTTTGATCTGTGGTGCTGGAGAAGAGTATTGAATGTACCATGGACTGCCAAGAAAACAAATAGATTTATCCTAGAGAGGGTTAAACCAGGCTGCTCCTTGGAGGCAAGGATTCTGGGGCTTCGCCTGACATACTTTGGACATGCTGTAAGGAGAGACAGGTCTTTAGAGAGGGACATCATGCTGGGTAGAGTAGAGGGACAGTGCAGGAGGAGAAGACCCTCTATGAGATGGATTGATTCAGTGACTGGAGTAATTGGGATGGGTGTGTCAGAGGCAATGAGATTGGTACGGGTTAGAGCACGGTTTAGGGCTGTTGTACATAGGGTCGCTATGAGTCGCAAACGACTCGACGGCACATAACAACAACAACAACAACAATATTTTAAATAATTTAGTTTTGTGAGAATAAGGAGGACATATATTGTTAGGTGTGCTCAAGTTGACTACAACTTATAGGGACCTAACAGACAACACAGCTAAGCCTTGCTCCGTCTTGTGCTCCATGATGAAGCCCATTATTACAGTTACTCTGTCAATTCATCTTGTTGAGGGTCTTTCTTTCTTTAACAGATGCTCACTCACTTTTCCCAACATACTTTTTTCCAAGTAACTCTTGATAACATGTCTAATGTCTGAGAAACTAAATGTCACAATTTTTGCCTCAATGAAGCTTCTCGGCTGTCCTTCCTCCAAGACAGACTTGTCAATTCTTTTTGGCAGTCCATGGGATAGTCAGGGCTCCAACTTCATAATTCAAAGTCAGGGATTTTTCTCTGGTCATCCTTACTCACGGTTCAACTTTCAGATGCACAGGAAGCAACTGAAAATACTAGGACTTGGATTAATCCCCCTTAGTCTTTCAACTTGATCCTTAGCATTTTGGA